TGGGGGGTGGGGGGGGCAGTTTCTTTCTTAGCCATTGAGCAGAAGTTCAACCTTTAATAGAAAACCACTGTTCCTATTATAATCTGTTGCTTTTCTATTGGGAAATATTGTGCAGCCTCATAAACCAAATCATCATGGTGACTGGCACATTTTCGATAATTTTATTTACAAAAAACACAGGGCGTTTCTCCGTTTCGTCGTCAGGAAACCTAATAATTAATCGATATTGGATCTATTTCATTTAGCACTCCTACATAATAAAGGAAACGTTCTACTCGTAAACCCAAGATAAGAGCGAGCATAAAACCTTTTGCTTGACGTAATTTCACCTTATTGATTTTCGATGAAAAAAAAGACTCCATATCAGAGCCGATTAAAGGTTGGTAGCCTTTGCTTGGGGTACTTCTAATCTTGACAGTCAACACGGTAACCAGACAGGAATCAGAGATAAGAAAGACCCCGGAAATGCCTTTCAACGCTTAAAAGAGTTTCGATATTTTATATGGGTTCATTGTTCAAGTAAAAAGTCAAAATAGATTTGCGGTATTGCAGACAAAATCGGATTTAGAAACTAATAACAAGCCACACTTAGCTCGTAAATAACAGTTATGCCAGCGGTAAGATAAAACCCCCAACAAAACAATTGGTTACAAAACGACACAATGCTGTCGGTATGTTATTTGATGGGTATGGTGAGAAGTTTTCTTTTATCCTGCCTAAAATGGTGTGGAGTCACTGCATTGAACCGTACGTCTTCGACAAACCCATCGAAAGCAGGCTGATTGGCCTTTTTTCATATACCCAGCGATATAGACAGTTTATATCAAGACTATGAAGTCAATGCGTCCAAAAGAATCACCAATTACGTCATCTCTCCTCTGTTCCCGACTTTCCGTCCTTGTGTTTTGCACAAAGAAGAACAGATACTGCGGATGCTGATGGGGCTTTAATAGCCTCAATTATATCTACTGAATGGCAACGTCCTCTTAAAAAAAGCAAACAACAGCAACTAAAAAAAAAAAAAAAGAAGAAAAACTGGACATTGTCACCTTGTGTAGCTCCTCATCGATCCCGTCTTTGCCGCTCCAGTCTACCGTGAAGCGAGCAGTGCTGGAAGCGGGCAGTTTCGCTGGCAGTTTCTCGTCACGAAGCTTCTTTAGGAGAGTTTGAGCCTCGCCGTCAACACTAGGAGGGTAAAAGTATATATAACAGATTCAACGATGATGATGCTGAAGAAGTCTTAGATGTGCAGGACTGTAAAATTTACACCCACAGTACCCTTGTTACTCACACACGCACTCTCTCTCTCTCTCTCTCTCTCTCTCTCTCT